GAGCGGAACGGGAGAGCCCCGGGGGGCTCCGCGCAGCGCCCGCTTGGCCCCGACGGGACCCCCGCCCGCCCCGCGCCCACCTTGCGAGAGCCGCCCGGTGCTCCCGGTACTCACAGGCGAGCGGGTCGGCGCGGGAGAGGCGCGGGCAGAGCAGGAGCAGCAGCGGGAGCATCGGGAGCAGCGGCGGCGGCGGCATGGTCGGCTCCGGTGCCCGTCGGTGCCCGGGGCGGCGGAGCGCACCGGCACGTCCGGGGAAGTCCCGAGCAAGTCTGAGCAACCCCCGGTTACCAAAGCCCCAACTGCCGCCCTGGCCCCGCCCCGGGACCGCCCCCGGGGGGGCAGAAAGCCACCGGCCCCGCCGCCCCCCCCGCCCCGCTCCGGTACCGGCCCCGGGACCGGCCCCGGGACTGACCCCCGCCCGGTGCCCGCTGTCGCCGCGGGATGCCGGACCCCCCACCCTACCCCGCCCCGGGGCCGGTGTCCCGCTCCCCCCGACCCCCCCGGTAGGTGAGTAAGAGCCGCTCCGGGGCCGCCGGCCCACGGGTGACTCACGCGCGGCCGCCGCGGACCCTCCCGCGCCCCCGGGGCCGCTCTCGCCCCTGTACCGGCCCCCCCCTCCCGCGGGCTCCCCCCACTCGAAGCGTCTCTAAGATCCAAACCCTTGTCATGACTTATTTTTGGGGTGAAAACGGGAATATCATCCCATAAATCCCGGTGTTTTCTATCGAATCCATCATCTCTGTTTTTTCCTCCCCCAAAAACCCCAAAAAGCGGAAAAAACACCCCAAGTGGCTCCAAGTCCCCCCGGACCGTGTCTGCATTTGTCCCCGGGGGTCCCAGGGGTGGTGGCATTTCCGGTTGTGCCACCAGCACCAGGGCAAAGCCACCCACTTGGGCATCCCCCAGTGTCCCCTCCTGTCCCCCTGCCCGGGGTCTCGGTGGCACTGAGAGCTTTGCAGACCCCCAGACGGGTCACAGACCCCCGGGACAGCAGGTCCTGGTCCGTGGCAAGGCCACTGTCCCCAAGCGTGGCATGTCCCCAGGTGTGAGGACAGGGGACATCATTCCCTGCTGGACACGGAGTGTGGAGGGTGGCAGGGGACACCTGGGTGGCCTTGGATGCCCCACAGACGGGGGCGGGGGGGGGGGTTGAACCCCACTGTCACACGAGGAAGGGGAGGGGTGACACTGCGTGGGGCTCCGAGGTGTTGGGCACCAGCAAGGGATTGCAGGGATTAGGAAACACAATAAAAAAAACGAGAGGGGGAGGGAGCCCGAACAATGCCTTTTCCCATCGTCCTGTTTTTTGGAAGCTTCTGAACTGTTTTTGTTGAAATTTCCCAAAAATGTCAGGCTCCGGGAGCCACCCAGCCTGAGAAACTTCAGCCCCAGCGGCCGCAGTCTGGCCGAGTGAATCACGGCCGCCCCGGGGCTCTGGCGGCCGCCCGCGATCCCGACCCACCGCCCCGATCCCCCCGGGAAGCCACCCCGGGACCGGAGCCAGCGGTGGGTGCTGGGAGCGGGGAGAAGGAGAAATCCCCCTCCCCGGAGCTGGAATCGGGACCAGCAGCCGCCCCGGCTGCCCACCTGCACTGCCCACCCCCCTTCCCCCGTCATCTTCCTCCAGCCCCTGGCCGAGCTCCTCCTCGGCTCGCACCCGGAATGTGGGATTCAGCGCGGTGGCTCTGGGAAGCAGGGATGGGTGGGATCCCGGGGAGGGGTGCTGGCAAAGGTGTCACCAGAGGGTGGTTTGAGGCTGTGCTGGGGGGCAAAGGGGGGCACAGTGGCATCAGGAGGGCAGGGGAGCCTCGGATCTCACCGGTGTCACCTGGGACGTGCCACAGGTGGCACAGGGACATTCGCCCTCCCCGCCCCACGGCAGCACCTGAGCCTGTGGGATGGGCACAGGGTGGGGGGACAGAGCCAGCCCCCCGAAGCCGGGCAGTGCCAGGGTTGGTGTCCAGCTCTGTCCCGGAGCAGCCGGAGGTGGCCGAGCCGCTGTCTCTGAGTCAGCGCCTCGGCCACTCAGTGGCAGCTGTGGTCAGCTCTGCCCTTTGACAGTGACCTTTAAAGCTGCTCCCTCAGCCCACGGGCCAGTCATGCTCAAAGGCACCGGTCAGAGGCAGGATCTGTGCCCGACCCCCCCTCGGACCCCCGGCCCGGGCTGTCGGCGTCAGCACGGGGGTCCCGCGGGGCCGGCGCGGTCCGGCTGCCCCCCCCCGGCGTGGCTCCATTCCCAGGCCCTCCTTGCCCTGTTGTGGTGCAGGATATGGCCACGGGGACCGACTCCCTGCTCTGCCCAGGCGGGGTGTGACTCCCCCCCAGCCGGAGCCGGGTGACCCCGGTGACATCCCCAAACCCGCGCGGAGCATCCTCGGTCCAGCTTCCCACCAGCCATCACCTTCCATCATGTGTCACCAGGGCCCTGAATTAATCTAATTACTTGATTTCCCAGCCAGAGCTCGCTCCATAAAATCCTTGGACGGAGACAGCATCTGGCTCAAGGGCCAGGGTGTAAAAAACAAACAAGAAAAACAACCCCAAACCCCGGGAAAAGCGGGAGGAGAGGCTGCCTCGACTGCCTGCATCCTTTTAAAGTGACCTGGGGGAAAAATAAAGAGGCAAGAAATGCAAAGAATCCAGCAGGCAGAGTTTGCTTTCTATTCCTCTCAGTCACATTTCCACATCCATGGGTAATTTATAACCCGCTTAACCCCTTCCCTGCCACCCCCCCACCCCTTTTCCCTCGGGAGCATCCTCGAGGCGGCCGCACCTTCCCTCCTCTGTTTGCTTTGGGAAGCACAAAGAGCCCCACGATGGGGTTTGAGGAGCTCTAGAGGAGGGGGGGAAAAACGTGGTTGATGTCGAGGGGGTGCTTGAGCACCAGGGATGGGCTCAGCAGGATCGGGACATGACGTGACAGGTCCCCTGCCAGTGGAGGGGGGACCCTGGGGACATCTCAGCCGGCACGGGGAGGGGGGGGAGAGGCTGTGCCTTCCCGAAAGGCTCCGGGAGGGGGGGAAAAATGTAGGTCAGTAGTGATAAATGCAAAAGGCATCGAGTGTTTCTGGAGAGGGGAGGAGGGAGGGCAGCAAATATTTGCCAACTTGAGTGGTTTTTTTGCCCTGGAAAGGCTTTTTTTTTTTTCCCAGGAGGAGGTGAGTGGCCGGAGCGCGGGCCGGTGCCAGGGGCTCAAGGTGCGGGCAGGTGCGGCGGGAGGGAGCGGTGCCCACCGGCCGCTCCATCCCGGGGGATTCCCGTTCCCCCCGCGGGGCTCCGGGCTCGGGCTCCGTGTCTTTCCCTTGCCAGGGAAACCCCACCTGCGGCGCGGGGCCGTGATTTACGGCGACAGCCCCCAATCTACCCCATTTTCTTGGCCATCCGTCAGCGGTGCCGGACCCGGGGCTGGCGGGGCTCCAGGAGGGGGAAGGGGGAGCGCAGCGCCCTGGCAGCCCCGCCAGCCCCGGCCGCAGCACATTTTCTCCCGGCCCTGCTTTGATTAACAAGATGAATAAGCTGGCGGGGCGAGGAGAGGCCCCGCTCCCCGCTCCCGGGGGGGGCGTGGGGGGCACGGGCTGTGCTGCCCCAGCCACCCCCAACCCCTCTCCCCCTGTCCCAGGGTGTCCAGCACCCCTCAACCCTGAGCTGGGACAGGGAGACATCCCCCCCTTCCCCCTGCCGGGGTCTTGCCATGTGTTCCCCATTAGGGCTGGAGGTTAACAAAGCCCCCAGCCCTCCTCCTCCTCCCCCTTTCCCCCCGGGGCTGCTTTGGGGTGCTGCCATAAATAAGGGTAATGGGCAGGGCAGGGGTGAGAGGGGGGTGCGGGGCCCAGGAGGGGCCTTGGATGTCCTTTAAACCCTGGGGAATCGCAGCTGTAAATCTGGGGTGTCAGGGAGAGCCCGGTGCCCTGCTGGGGGGCCCTGCAGAGGGAGGGTGAGGTGGAGGGTGGCACAGCTGGCTGGGGACACAGCCCCTTGTCCCCTCCTGACAGGACGGTCCCTGTATGAGCAGCCCTGTCCCTCTGGGTGCCACCAGTGCCAGTGTGCCCCCCTGGTCCCCATGTCGACCCCCCAGTCCCCCTGCTCTCCCCAGTTCCTCTGTGCTGCTGGTGTCAGCGTGGCCTCCAGTCCTGCTGTGTCCCTCTGATCCCTGGGCATTCCCCTGGACCTCCTGAATCCTCCTGCATCCCCTGGTGCCCAGGAATCCCCCAATCCCTGTGCATCCCCTGGTCCTTAGGCCTCCTCTCCTCCTGTATCTTGGGGTACCCCTGTGTTCTCTGGTGCCTGAGCATCCCCTGCTGCCTGGGCATCCCTTTGTACCCCTGCATCCCAGGGCACCCCACATTCCTCAGTGCCTGGGCATCCCCCTGTCCTACATCCCGAGGTACCTCACATCCCCCAGTGCCTGGGCATCTCTCCCATCCTGCATCTTGGGGTATCCCACATCCTCCAGTGCCTGGGCATCCCCCTTTCCTGCATCCCAGAGTACCCCACATCCCCCAGTGCCCGGGCATCCCTCTGTCCCTCTGCATCCCAGGGTACCCCCATCCCTCAGTGCCCGGACATCCCCCTGTCCTACATCCCAGGGCACCCCACATCCCCCAGTGCCCGGGCATCCCCCCGTCCTGCATCCCTG